TCATTGAGTTGTAGCAGTCTTTTTTTCTCCAGCTAAGTCCATATTCATATTTAGCTTTTTGATATCCCAATAAGCTTTATGTTCTATCTCAACAGGCATATGACATGATTTTCCATAAACCAACTTATATGGAGAAGTACCTATTGGAGTCTTGTATGCAGTTCGGTAAGCCCACAATGCATCTTCTAACTTACCGGACCAATCTTTCCTATTTGCGCTCACAGTTTTCTCCAAAATCTGTTTTACCTCCCTGTTTGACACTTCAATTTGACCACTTGTTTGAGGGTGATATGCAGTAGAAACCTTGTGTCTTACACCATATTTTTCTAGAATATTTTTCAACAATTTGTTGCAAAAGTGTGTTCCTCCATCACTTATCAACACCCTTGGAGTTCCAAAGTGTGTGAAAATGTGTTTCTTCACAAAACTTACCACTACCTTCGCATCATTAGTAGGAAGAGCAATGGCCTCAACCCACTTAGACACATAATCCACTGCAACCAAAATATATCTGTGCCCATTAGAATACGGAAATGGTCCCATGAAATCTATTCCCCAAACATCAAAGAGCTCTACTGCCAAAATATTTTGTAAAGGCATCTCATGCTTCTTCGTGATCGTTCCGGTTCTTTGGCATCTGTCACAATTTTTAATAAAAGCATGTGCATATTTAAATAATTTTGGCCAGTAAAAACCTGATTGCAAAACCTTTTGTGCAGTTCTGTCTCCACCATGATGACCTCCATAAAGAGAATAATGACAGTCATGCAATATTGCATTCATCTCCTCCTCAGGGACACACCTTCTTACTAATTAATCTGCGCATTGCTTGTATAGAAAAGGCTCGTCCCACATGTAGAATCTCACATCATGTAAGAACCTTCTTCTATGGTCAGCTGTGAATTCTGGTGGAGTCACCCCACTTGCAATGAAATTCACATAATCAGCATACCACGGGGTTTCATCCGAAGTGATGGCTAGCAAATGTTCGTCAGGGAATGTTTCTTTGATTGATTCTCCTTCAGTGACATGGCCTCTATTTTCCAGCCTGGATAAATGATCTGCAACCTGATTCTCTGTTCCCTTTCGATCTCGAATCTCCAAATCAAATTCCTGCAAAAGAAGAACCCATCGAATTAACCTTGGCTTGGCATCTTTCTTTGCAAATAAATACCTTATAGCTGAGTGATCTGTGTAAACTATGACTTTTGTCCCCACTAGATAGGATCTAAACTTATCAAATGCTCATACTACTACGAGCAACTCTTTTTTAGTAACAGTGTAATTCATTTGAGATGGATTAAGAGTTCTACTCGCATAGTGAATGGAACAAAATATTTTCTCTTTCCGCTGCCCCAAAACAGCTCCAATGGCTATATCACTTGCATCACACATCAATTCAAATGGAAGTTTCAAATCTGGAGAAATGATAATCGGTGCAGTAACTAATCTTCGTTTCAGCTCATCAAATGTTTTCAGACAAGCATCATCAAACTTGAAAGATGTATCTTTCTCAAGAAGCCTGCACAAATGAGATGAGATTTTTGAAAAATCCTTGATGAAACGACGGTAAAAACCCGCATGGCCTAAGAAATTGTGAATGCCTCTAACTGATGTTGGTGGAGGTAATTTTTCAATTACATCCACCTTTGCTTTATCCACCTGCATTTAGGACTGTATTTCGGGCCGGGCCCGGGCATTCGTGGGCCAAACGGGCCAGGCTTTGTGGGCCTGGGCGCTAGCAGTCACGGGCCTGGCGGTCCCGGGCTTCGTGGGCTCAACGGGTGAAACCGGCCCGTGACGGGCCTAAGCCCATATGGTCCTGGGCCAAACGGGTCAGGCTCGTGGGCTTCGCGGGCCTAGCGGGTTTTTTTAAGGCAATTTCTTGTAGTATCATGGCTATATTAAGAATATATATGTAGTATATATGTAGAAATCTAATTATTAAAGTGCTTGACAAAAAAGAAAAATAACAAAACAATACTAAAACACGAAATTGTCATGCATAATAAATTAATAACAAAGTACAACATGAAGCATAAATACGTCTAATATTTTTGAAATAACATAAATTGTTGAAGAAACCTTAAAGACGAATTCTTGGATAAATACCCTCAACACAATGCTTTATATGCCTCCTTAAAGTGCATGTGGTTTGAACAGTACTAAAATTTAAGACTCTTACACAGTTTTTGCACTTTAATTTTTGGCCTTCTTCATTTTCTTCAACCACTTCATAGTATTGCGAAATAAATAAGCGCACTCTTTCCGAACGAGGCAGATGTAACTTGAAAATTAAGATTGAGATTTGAAGTCTTGAAAATTGGAGATTGAGATATTGAGAGAAATTTAGAATGAGAAATAAGTATTGAGTATTGAAATGAAGAAGAGGGAGGGGGGTATTTATAGTGGTAGAGAAGGTTAGTTTTGTAAATTGAAAAAAAAAACTTATTTGAATTTTGATTTTTGAATTTTGAAATTTGAATTTTAAATCTTGAATTTTGAATTTTGAATTTTGAAAAATCTTGTTTTGTAGTATATATAGTATATATATATATATATATAGTATACTAGTATAGAATGTTATGTATATATATTTCATTGTATATTGTCTTGTAGTATATATTGTATGTTATGTATATATATATTCCCTTATATATTTTCTTGTAGTATATATTGTATGTTATGTATATATACTCTCTTATATATTTTCTTGTAGTATATATATTGTATCTTATGTATATATATTATAACTTATTACTTATATATTTTCTTGTAGTATATATTGTATGTTATGTATATATATTTTCTTATATATTTTTTTGTAGTATATATTGTATCTTATGTATATATATTATAACTTATATATTCTCTTGTAGTATATATTGTATGTTATATATATATTGTAGCTTATAAATAATTCCAAGTAAGGACAAAGAAATATTACGAAAAGATATTCAAGGGTATGTCTTATAATTGTTATTAGCAAAAATGGCATATATTTCTTAGTCTTCCTTTCTTCAATGGAATGAGCACAACAAGGTACTATACCACCATTATAAGGAAAACAAAACTAAGGAAGATGTGCCAAAATATAAGTTACATATTAGTCTATGTATTAACTCTAACAAATCTCATAAATCCTTCAAGAAGCTTGTTCATCTATCGTCGGTTGTGATTCTGCAATTCCAAAGTTTCTTCTTTCCGAGCGGATCCAATCTCTAAACAGTACTGATTTTTCCAAGCTATCTCACTGATTTTTCCAAGCTATCTCTCATAGACGCTCTATGATCACCTATTTGCAGTCTTGCTTGACTGAAAGCGCTCTCTGATGCAACAGTTGAAGCTTGAATTGATAAAATATCCC